CTGCAACCAGGAATGTGCCCAGCTGGACGGGGCAGGAGAGTCTGGCCGAAAGCGACCCCGAGATGTGGACCCTGGTCCAGAAAGAGAAGGATCGGCAGTGCCGGGGTCTGGAGCTCATTGCCTCTGAGGTGGGGTTAACAGAGTGCTTGGGGCAGGGGGTGGTGACAGTCCTGGGGGACACTTGCTCAGGTGGGAGCTCTGCTGCCCATCTCTGACCCCCTTTTTCCCCCAGAATTTCTGTAGCCGGGCAGCACTGGAAGCCCTGGGCTCCTGCCTCAACAACAAGTACTCGGAGGGATACCCTGGCAAGAGGTAAAGGCAGGGAGCAGGCTCTTGGACGGCAGGGAGGTGGCATCAGAGGTCCTCCCGCAGTTGGGATTTGGCTGCAGGAAAGGTTAAGGGGAGCCTCAGGGTGGACGCTTCTGAAGGCAGGCTGTCCTCTCTGCCGAGGTCTCCTGTGGGGCAGTGTGGGAGGCTGTGGGGCTGGCAGGGGGAAGGCCCCCTGTAACCACCTCCCCTCTTCCTCCAGGTACTATGGGGGGGCTGAGGTGGTGGACCAGATAGAGTTGCTGTGTGAGCAGCGGGCTCTGGAGGCGTTTGACCTGGATCCTGCCCGCTGGGGTGTCAACGTTCAGCCCTACTCAGGGTCTCCAGCCAACTTTGCAGCCTACACAGCCCTGCTGCAGCCCCACGACCGCCTGATGGGGCTGGACCTGCCCGATGGGGGCCAGTACGTAGTGGGGTGGGGCAGCCTGGAGCCTGCTGCCTCCTGGGGGGCCCAGCCTGATCCTGTGCCTCTGCCTTCTTCTGCAGCCTCACACATGGGTACATGTCAGACGTCAAGAGAATCTCAGCAACATCCATCTTCTTCGAGTCGATGCCCTACAAACTTGACGTGAGCCAAGGGGGGCAGGTTCCTGGGGGAACAGGGGGATCTGCTGGCCAAGCTGTTGATCCTGGCGGTGCCCTTGGGGTGCCTGAGCTGCTCTGTCATCCCCTGCCTTACCCTCCTTGTGTCCCAACCACGTCCTGGTGCCATGGGGTGCTTGGGAGCTGCCTGTGGTTCAGCCAATGTGCTGTGCTCAGAGCTGGGGGCAGGGAGGTGCATATGCAAGCTGTCTGTCTGTCTGTCTGTCTGTCCCTCACAGCCAGCCACAGGGCTGATTGATTATGACCAGCTGGAGGTGACAGCACGGCTCTTCCGTCCTCGTCTGGTCATTGCTGGCACCAGTGCCTATGCCCGCCTCATTGACTATGCTCGCATGAAGAAGGTACAGGCAGTAGGCTCTGTCGTGGGTGACAGGAGCTCTCGTACCTGCGGCAGCTCGAGGGCAGTCGCACCCTGCTTGTGGCTGTGGGGACAGGGACAGCCCATGACTCCCTGTGCCCCTTGTCCCCAGGTGTGCGAGGAGGTGAAGGCATACCTGCTGGCAGACATGGCGCACATCAGCGGGCTGGTGGCAGCCAAGGCCATCCCTTCACCCTTCGAGCATGCGGACCTGGTCACCAGTACCACGCATAAGACCCTGCGTGGTGCCAGGTGAGGCTGCATCCTGCCATCCCCTCCCCAGGGAGGATGCCCGCCTGTAGCGGGGAGCGCAAAGCAGAGGTTGCATTTGATGCTCTGGTTGGGGCCAGATCGGAGCAGCAGGGACGCATGGGAGCGTGGTAGCAGTGCCAGTGCTGCGTCACGGTGCAGGCGGGCCGAGCCCCTGCCATGGGGCGACAGCAGGCGGTCTGGAGGAGCAGTACCAGCTCTCTCTCACTGCCAGGTCAGGACTGATCTTCTACCGCAAGGGTGTGCGCTCAGTGGATAAGAAGACGGGCAAGGAAACGCTCTACGACCTGGAGGACAGGATCAACTTTGCTGTCTTCCCCTCCCTGCAGGGGGGCCCCCACAACCACGCCATTGCTGCTGTGGCCGTGGCCCTCAAACAGGTCTGTGCCAGGGCAGTGGGTCTGGGTCTGGGGGCAAGCTGGGCCCCATCCTGACATGGTGTCCCCTGCCAGGCCAGCTCGCCAGCTTTCCGCCAGTACTGCCAGCAGGTGCTGAAGAATGCCAAAGCCATGGCACAGGCGCTGCTTCAGCGTGGGTACACCCTGGTGTCAGGTAATGACTCCTTCCCTGTGTTTTTAGGGACAAGGAGGGATGAGGCTGTGGTAGGTCAAAAGCGGCACCACTCGGTCTCGGTGCCCCGAGGCAGCAGTGGGGAGCATGGGTGGGTTCGGGGGCAGAGGAGGGGGTGCAAGGTGGAATAGGGGCAGTGCTGCGGAGCGGGGAATGGGCTGGGATGTGGTGGTGAGAAGAGGGGCTGGCTGGCAGTGCTCGGGGCTGGCTGTTGCTCCTCACCCCTTTCCCTTGCTCCCCAGGTGGCACCGACAACCACCTGGTGCTGGTGGACCTGCGGCCCAAGGGCATGGATGGCGCGCGGGCTGAGCGGGTGCTGGAGCTTGTTTCCATCACTGCCAACAAGAACACGTGCCCAGGGGACAAGAGCGCGCTCACGCCAGGGGGGCTGCGCCTGGGTGAGGGATGGGCCCTGCTTGGGGGGGGTCTTCCTGCCTCCATCCAGCCCCTTCCCTGGGAGGGGCTCCCCAGGCTTTCACCTCAGGGCATCTCCCCTCTGTTTCACCCCTCTCTGAGGACTCCACATGGGAATTTGGAGCTGGTTTGTGTCTCGGAGAGGGGCACAGGACTCCATGGGGACTTGGGGAGCCCCTTGGTGGGATTGGCTTCTGTGCATGGTGCCCCCAAGGAGCTCCTGGCCCTGATGGGCTCCGTCCCCTAGGTGCCCCCGCGCTGACCTCCCGCCATTTCCATGAGGAAGATTTCCAGAAAGTCGTGGCTTTCATTGACGAGGGCATCGCACTGGCTCTGGACGTCAAGAGCAAAACCAGTGAGTTAGCGGGGACCCCCTCTTCCCCCCTTCCTGGGTGACAGCCAGCACCTCTCTGTTTGGGGTGCGGGACTGTGCCCCCAGCCGATGCCAGCCTCCCCCCTTGCCGGGGCAGGGACACGCTGCTGCCATGTCCTCCCGCTCTTCTCACCGGCTCCTCCTCTGCCTTCAGGCAAGCTCCAGGAGTTCAAGACCTTCTTGCTGCAGGACGCGGAGACGCAGCGCCGCTTGGCTGACCTGCGCCAGCGCGTGGAGACCTTTGCTCGTGCCTTCCCCATGCCTGGCTTCAGTGACCACTGAGCGGGGGCTCTTGCCCCTCCTGCTGGGCCGGGACTACGTGGGGGCATGGGGAGGCTTAAAACCACCCTCTGCATTTCCCCACTCCCCTTCATCCCCCACCAGCACCTTTTGGGATTGGGTGCTCCCTCCCCGAGGTGGGTGTCAGCCCACCTCCGCCCTGCTCTCAGTGTTAGGGTACGGCCCGCCCCCCAGACCCTGATGGGGGGGAGGGACTTGTCCTTGCTCCAGCCTCGTCCCTTCTGTCCAAGAAAGTCTTGCACTTTTCTACAAAGGGCGGGGGTTGCTAATAAACGTGGGGGCAGAGCCTGCTGGCATGGAGGTGTGTGGGTGCTGAGCTGGGGAGAGAGACGGTGGTGCTACCCCCTTGCTCCCCATGACACTGGAGTAGCCCAGCCCCTGGCCGGCCAGGCAGCTGCTGTTCCCCGGTGCGTCCTGCTCGCCGGGGTCATCTGCTCCATATTTGCTGTCCACCAGTTCCCCCCGGCCTTAGCCAAACCAGACAGCGCTGGGCAGGACTCCCCTGCCTCTGGCAAAGGCACGTAAGCTGAGGGGAGCAGGGGCTGTGCACGTGTGCAGGATCCCCACGTGCATCCATGTGTGTGCGTGCACGCGCGTGCGCGTGTGTGACCCCCTCCACCCTACTGGTGTCTTTTCCTCTCCAGAGGGGCTGGGCTGGGACTGGGGTGGTCCTTGGGCAGCCCCCAGGACCCTGGAGCGTGGGAGAGCGGAAACGTGGTGCCGAGGGCCGTGAACTGCTGCTTCCAGAGGGACATGAGCCTTCACGGGGGCCGGTGTCGGACGTCTCCTACGTTTACGGAGGCGGCACACGTAATCCGTTGTGCTGCCCCCGCCCCCAGTCATTTATTACTGCCCTACGAGTTTCATGCAGGCGCAACATGATGGCAAGAGCAGCACGCTGGGCAGGGTGGGAGGACATGGGGATGCTGGCAACGGTGGTCACATCGCTCCCGGAGTGACGTGGTTTATTGGGGGGGTGCAGCCTCGCGGTTTGGGGGTGCCGGGGAAGCAGTCAGGCCTGTGTATGCAGTGACAGGCATGGAGCCGTGGGGCAGGTGAGAGCCAGGAGGTCTGGTGAGGGCCGTGGTGGTGCTGCTGGGGCTTGGCGACGCTTCCCCCTGCCCCAGTGCATCCCAGGGTCAGCTCAGAAACTGGGACGGTCCTTCTTGAGGTTCTTGTAGTCAGTGGAAACTGCCAGAAACTGGAGAAGGGAGGGACGTGAGAGGGGGTCGTGTCCCCCATGGCTGTCACTGCAGCCTGGCCTTGGCTGTGGGAGGGGAGGACAGTGCTCCCCTCCCCAAATCTGAGCACACAGAGCTGGAGGCTCATGCACCTCTGCCCCAGGGCTGATGCTGCATCTTCCCCTTTCCTGGGGAAAACACCACATCTTGCTCTAAACATGGCCATTCCCCCACCTCAGAATGCCAGGCCCCTTGTTTACCCAGTGCTTACTTTATACTGGTCCGTGGGGCTCAGCTTATTCCAGGGTTCAGGATTATTTTTTCGATCCCAGCTGCAAGGGGTGATGGGGCCATAAGTACCTGTAAGGAGGGTGGGGGAGACAGCCCCCTCCCTCCCCATTTTACCCCACTAGTACCCCCAGCCCAGCTCTCTGCAGAAATAATCCCCGATACCTTTGTACCCACACG